AAAACAATCGGTTTATCACGAAAACATTGCTATCTCTAGATGCAGCCGGTAATTTGCCAGTGTCTAACCTATGTTGGGGAAATCAAGTGAATTGTGTCTCTCCATCTGCTTCGTTATAATCGTTCATACCCGAAATAGGTATTTATGTGTTCCTTGAAAGCCTTGACTTGTCCAAATTCACCGGAAAACGTGAACAAGGTCATTTCTGGCTGGATTGTGTTCAGCAACAAAAACGGGGAGTATTTAGAATCGTGGTTAAATTAGTCAATGAGCCGGAGAGAGAAACGCAACAAACCAGGTCCGTTATTTGACCTTGATTGGGCCGAAGACTAAATAATCTGTATACTGAAGATTTCATCGAACTCTACTCATTCATAATTTCATTGGTACGTATAAAATGTGAACAAATGTCTTTGAGCAATAGACTAAATGTAGTTCAACCGTGTGCTGCTTATTTGCAGTACAATTGTCCCTATGGAGTTGGGTACTGACGAAAATCAAATAAGACCACACACTCAAGCGGGAACATGAAATCCGAGAAGAAAGTTACCATTAGTGGACTAAGCACGATATTATACTGCCTAGAAATATGTGCGATTCACGTCGCACTAAACCATATGATTTCGTGTGCTTTGTTTGTTATTTTCTTTCGCACACAAAGAACCTTTTTGGTGGCGAGTTCTCGTCAACTGATGACTCCGTTGAACCCCCTATCGGATAGCGCTGCCGAGAATTAGCCCGCGGCATTTACTGTGGGACATTTGGTCCCACTTTGCTGAGGTTTAGGGACCCCGGGTACACTGGTTCTGCGGCATATATCAAGTCCAAAAGCTTCATCAACACCATCGTTGAAAAGTGAACTCGATTGTCTTACCGGATTCTTATAAAAACAACAAAATAAAATATTGGATTCGCTGGAGTTGGAAAGAGAAGAAGGACTGAGAAAGTTTCCGCTGTTTTTGGGATTGAACTGCCCCCCCCCTCCCTTCAACATTCAACGTGGGTTGTAATCACATATCCCTATAATCTATTCTCGCTCTTCCGTTTCGATCGCATATTTCGAATTAAACCCCAAAAGTGGTCTGCACAATGGCACACTCTTTTCGATCACCACATGATGTGAATTCGGCTTATGTTCAAACGACTATTGTTTACCGATTTTTTCTTCAAACTGACTGTTATAACATCAGTGGTGATGTCACACCACCCCCCCCACCCCCACAGATGAACCTAAACCTTGAAAACAAAAACACATTGATGTAACGTGGGGGGGGGGGAAGGTTCTGTACAAATAAAAATGTGACAACGTTTGAGTTCTTTCGTGAAAAAAAACGTGAGGCAAATAGGAGATGTCTGAACAAATCTTTATTAAGTCGCTTCACTAATTTTTGCTTCTGATGGTTCACTGTGTCATAGTTGACAAAATCCTATTGATTTTCGATATAACGTATTTTTAAAAAGTGAACGTGTTTCTACACCCCTGTCTGAGAAAATCTGTGCGCGGAGGGGGAGGGACAGAAAACATTTCAAACAAGATACAAAACACAGACATTTCCATTTGTCTCATTTGGACATGTAAACATGAAAAACCTGCATAAACAGCAAAACAGATGGATTGAACTCACCGAATTCGAATCTGATTGGTCAAATATTCTGACCAATTGGAAAATTTCCAATATGACAATTTGAGGCGAGATTCAAAAGAAAAGCCTACAACTGTCCCCATGGAATGTAAATGATTCTGTCTGCTCTATATTTATATATGTAAATACATCTCCGTTGTACTGGTTGCATATTTTCACATTCTATGCATTGATTTACGCAACTCTGAACACTTCGCCGTGCAACTTTTCACCTCGTCTATTGCATACCGTGTGAGAACTGTTGTCACGTTGATTAACTGCTAACCACACTCACTGTACACGCCAGGTTACGGTTGACACATGCAGCTCTGAGTCACACGTGTCACAGCAACAAAAACAACAACAAACATTTCTGTTACCAATGCAGTTTTATAACTGGAAATCACTTTTGGAAGAAGCAGTTCATACCATCTGGACTCTCACTTTTCTGATTGCATTCGTTCCACTGGGTANCATCATCATCACCATCATCATCATCAGCATCATCATCATCATCATAATCAGTCGAACCCCATCATCAGGTTGCGATTTAAAATCGTCGTGAAAATATCTTCGCCATCCGAATCATCTTCTTCATCCGACAAATTATCAACATCATCCAAATCGTCATCAACCTTTTCATCACCATCATTTTCG